AAGATTTCTCCGCCGACGGGTCCGTCGCCAGCGGCGATTTCGTTGCTCGAATCCGAGGACGATGGTCCTTCTGAAGATCCTTCTCCCTCCATTCCGCACTCGTCGAAACCACCTCCTCCTCTTCCCGCCTCCCCCCCATCGCTCGCCCCCGGCCTGCCTAAGTCGGCATCATCGTCGACCGCCAGCGATGAGGGGAGCATTGGTGCGTCGCCTTCGGCTCCGCCCATCGGCATCTCTGGCGGTCAACATGATCTGGTCGGCGAGCAAGTCGGCGTCGGAGTGAAGTCTCCGCTGACAGAGGAGCCGTCGAACAAGGGACGCGTTTCAGAGAAGCTGCTGACAGGGGAGCGCGTTTCAGAGGAGCGCGCTTCAGAGGGGCCGCCGACAGCGGAGCCGGCGAACGAGGAGCGCGTTTTAGAGGAGCCGCCGACAGAGGAGCCGTCGAACGAGGAGCTCGCTTCAGAGGAGCGGACGAGAGGGGAGCAGTTCGACGAAGGCACCTCAAGCAGCGTTGTTGAAGTCATCGGCGGCGATGAAGGGGAGCTGTCGGCCGGGGAGCAGTCCAGCGACAGCGACGTGGTGGAAGTCTCTGCCGACAAGCCCGCAGTTCGACGTTCAACCCGCTCTAACTTTGGCAAGCCTCGCGAAAAGCTGAGCTACCATGCTTGCCTGCCGCCGACCTCCTACAGCACTCTGCTCGACGATGCGCAGTTCGACGTCAACGTGCCCGAGCTCGACCCCGATATGCACGCTGGCCCGGAGCACCGTTGGGACATCGCCAACATGACGATGAAGGAGGCGTTGGCGAGCTGGAAGGGCAAGGCGGTGAAAGCGGCGATGGACGAGGAGATTCGAAGTCTCATCACCAACGGCACTTGGGAGCTGGTGGAGCGCCCGCGCGGCATCAATGTCATGAAGAACCGCTGGGTTCTGACGACGAAGTATCACGTCGATGATACGGTCGCACGCGAAAAAGCCGGCCTAGTGGTGAAGGGCTTTACGTAGGTCTACGGAGCTGATTACGAAGAGACGTATGCACCGGTCGGGAGCTACGTCACGCTGCGAATTTTTCTCAGCATTCTCGCCGTTCGCGACCTGCACCTCATGCAGCTAGACATGAAGAATGCGTTTCTGCAGAGCAAGCTTGATCGTGTGCTCTACATGGACCAGCCGACTTACTACAACAACGGAACCGGCCGTGTCTGCAAGCTGCTGAAGAGCCTCTATGGGCTGAAGCAAAGCCCTCTGTTGTGGTACTCGGCGCTCGACGCTGTGCTGACGGGCGCTGGCTGGAGCAAGAGCCAGGTGGACGAGGCTCTCTATTTCAGAGTTGGCGACGACGGAGTGGCGTGCTGGGTGCTCGTCTACGTTGACGATCTGCTCGCCGCTAGCAGCAGCACCGCGATGCTGAAGGAGCTGAAGGAGCTGCTGGAGGCCGCTTTTGAGCTGCGTGAGATCAGTCCGGTCGAGAAGTATTTGGGGCTCAAAATCATGCGCGATCGTCCGGCGCGAAAGCTATGGTTGCACCAGCAGTCCTACGTCGACAAGCTGCGTAGGCGCTTCATCGACAAGGAGCAGACTGGTCGGCGTCCGAAGACGCCTGTTTCCGTGGACGCCTACGCGGAGCTGACTTTCGACGATGAGGACTTCCAGTCTCGCGAAGAAGCGGAGTACCGTCAGAAGGTCGGTTCGTTGCAGTTCGCTGCCAAAACAACTCGGCCCGACATTGCTTTCGCGTGTAGCAAGCTGGGGTCTGGTCTGAAGGTGAGGAGCGATCAGCACTGGCGCGAGGTCGATCGCTGCCTCACCTATCTCGCCGACACGCGCGATTTCGCTCTGGAGTTCGGAGGAGGACCCGCAACTCTAAAACTGGTCGGCTACGCGGACGCGGACGATGCCGGCGACAAGCAGAATCGCACTAGCACAAGTGGCTACGTTTTCACCTTCGGCGGCGCTGCTGTCTCCTGGACGAGCCAACGCATCAAGTGCGTGACTCTGTCCTCTACAGAGTCAGAGTACATCGCGGCCACTGAAGCAGGCAAGGAGGCTCCTCGACTTCGGTTCCTCCTCGCCGAGTTCCAGCTCCTTGATGCTGGGACGCCAACTGTTCTGAACGTGGACAATCAGTCCGCCATCGCTGTCGCTGAGGGCTTGGGGCTGAAGGGCCACCTCAAGCACATGGAGCGACGCTACGCCTGGCTGCAGCAGATGGTGAAGCGCAAGAAGATTGCGCTGGAGTACATCCCGACATCCGAGCAACCGGCGGACTTCCTTACGAAAGGGCTGCACTTTCCGGCCTTCAACCGGTGCTCTGTCGCGGTCGGTCAGGTTCGCCTTGCCGAAGTCGGCGATGACGACGACGTGCAGCAGTAGGTGTCATGTCCTCTAACATGGCTGGTGCGGTGATCGGCGTGAGGAGGTGTGCACGCCAGAGAAATATCCCCTTGTATTCTATTAAGTAGGTTCTGGGTGGACCTTGTGTGTGGGGGCCCAAGCTTGAGCTGGGCAGGGGAGTGTCGGAGTGAAAGGCCCCGCCCTCGCTTGGGCACAGGCATTCTCTGCGACGACGTGGTGAATTCGACGAAGTGATCGTCGCGTTGGATCAGCCCGTCCTCTGAACCAGCCTGTGGTTTTCGAGGAGGTTGTCCTCTGATTCACCAGCCCATCAACGAGCACTGGTCGACGGGGTGCTGTTCGACGAGCTCGTCTTCTGATCTGCTTCTGGGTCGCGCGATCTCTGACGGACGGGGTGCTTTTCGAGGAGCCCCGTTCTCTGATCGAAGGGCGCTGTTCGGCGAGTCTCATCTCGGCGGACTGGCTGGCCAAATTCGCGCGACTGCGAAACTCTGACAGGGGCATGCGAAATTCGCTCAGGTGGCTCTTAGCGAAATTCGACCTGCAAAATGGCATCACGTGCTCGACGGTGGACACCTGACGAAACCATCGGAGCGTTTTCTACCTGGCACCTGCGCAATGTCTCTGACAGTGCAATCGTCTACCTGCACCTACTCGGCAGGTGCACACCTGCGCAGATATTCTCCTACGAATGCAGCGCTGGCAGGCTGCCCTGTTGCAGCGCTGGCATGTCGCCCTTCTGCTCCGCTGGCAGACCGCTCTGTTTCAGCGTTGGCGAACCGCTCTGATGCAGTGCTGGCAATTCGCTTTGCAGAATGCTTGCTAGGGATTGCAATGCCATTCCAGTGATATCACTTGCATGCTCTTCTTTGTACTCTAATTCTCAATTTTCAATGTTCTTTCAATTTCCTTAGTGGAAACTCTTGCCAATTTTCTCAGTGGTCACAGCAAGTAGTAAGAGCTCTGATAGAACGCTACTAGAGCGCTACGATCACCCACACAACTCCGTGCTCTCCTTCGTAGTCCACTCCCGTTGTAGGATGACTCTCCGCAAATTCCAACACTCGGGCAGTGGCTTAACATCGATTTTGCTGACTTTGATGAAGGCGCAAACACTATTAGTCGGAGTGAGATAATCGTATATATCTCTCAGTCGACCGCTTTGCAGCCCACCAAGTCTATCGTACCCCTGCACTAAAAACTATCCCGGAAAGTGGAGGGTAACCTAGGAAATTAGCTCTGATACCAAGTGTTATGAGTTTGTACGAAAGAAGAGTGCGCAGAATGCAATATCGCGGAAGTGATTACAACTACTCAGCAAACAACGGGGCCTAGGCATATTATAGCAAAGCTAGCTAGGTCGAGGTCGCGGGGTCGCGCGAAGGTTGGGTGCAGGTTTGGGGTTGGGAAACCCGAAGGCGACGCGAAGGACGTTCGGAAGGCGAGGTCGACGGACCGAGCCTGAACTCCAAAAAGTTGGAATTGTACGCGTACGGAGTGCCTCAGTAAGGAATTAGGAAAATTCCTTACAACGAAACACTTCGCAAACCCACTGCCAAATGTACGAACGAGGGTGCGTACGCGATACAATACATCCCGGTAAAAACTATGCAGCTTCAGAAACTATTCCCGTGGATCAATCGCAGCCCAGCAACGTGGGACTGACGAACGCTGCGGCAGCAGGCGCTGATGTGAATGGCCAGGCAATCGCAGCCACACGTCTTTTGCTTAGGGGAGTGCCGGAAAGCCAAGTCAACCTCGAGAACAGCCATGTCAGCACGGAAATTGGTGCTTGATTCCCTCAGCTCACATTTGCCACCCGAAACCCTAAACCCTGGCGAACTGTTACTGCAGAGGAAAATTGTCTACACGAAATCCAGGTTTTCGCCAGCCAACACTTTCGCGCTGGCAAGCCTGGTTCAAAACAAAAACTTCTGAACCTCCGCCAGGCAAATCTAGACCCTCGTTTTAAAGCGTTTAAATCAAAATAGTCTTTCTCTACTGCACATCACCGTACGAAACCGCAAAATTCGAACACAATGTACCTTCCCTCCCGCCCTCGGAATTAGTTGAATGGCCCCATTGCATATCATGCTTCCCGTGTCGAGCATCCGCACCACTAGTAGACACGCACATTGCGTGACAGCTAAGAAGCAAAGCGAAATCGATTTCGGGCGCGGGTAGAGGGTCGTACGCAAGGCACTGGCAGCACAATAAATCTCCGCAGTCGTCTCCGCGAGCCGTCCGCGGAACTGGAGCTGCGCCAGCGAGCTCTGCGACTCCGGTCGAATGCTTGAGCAGGCGCGTCCCACCCGTTGATCCTTGCGTGACCCTCGCGTTGACTTACGCGTGAACCATGGCTCCCGTCTACCTCCTTGAAGCGATGAGCACCCAATTGCTCTGAGGAATAGTTAAGCGCTTATTTGTGTGCAATGCAATGGCTTTAGTTATTTAAATGACGATAATAATGGCGTCCAATCGAGTAGCAGCACAGCTGTTAGCGAGGCTATCCTTCTTATCGCACTCAATCCATCCGTGCTCGAGCGCAACCGCCGCGACGCCTCTCCTCATCTTCGAGTAACCCGCAGTCGACCCACGTCGAAAGCCACCACGTAACCCGTAGCCGGCAAGCGCCAACCAGAGCCATGGTTCCGCTGCTCATCTGCCTGGTGTGCCTCATGGGCGGGTGCATGTGGTGGCTGTGCCGGCGCTGCCTGCACTCCGGCTCCACCGCTAGCAAGGACTGGCCGCCCGCCACCTACGACGAGTTTAAAGACGTCCCTAGAATCTGCCGCATCCTGCTGTCCGTCTACGAGGAGGATATCAACAACCCGGTCTACAACGACCGTCTGGAGATTAATGACGTCGTGCGGCTCGCGGGGTACAAGGACACGCAGGGCCGGTGCCCGCCGTACGTGATCTACGTGGACCACGCGGCGCGCGACATCTGTCTCGCGGTGCGCGGGCTGAACATGGCCAACTTCGCCGACTACCGCGTGCTGATGGACAACCGCATCGGCAAGCAGCGCTTCGACGGCGGCTACGTGCACCACGGGCTGCTCAAATCCGCCGCGTGGCTGCTCGACCAGGAGATGGAGACGCTCAACGCGCTCGCCGCGGAAAACCCGGCGTATACGGTGACGCTCGCGGGGCACTCGCTGGGGAGCGGGATTGTCGCGATGATGACGGTGATTCTGCATAAGAACCCCGACGAGGTGGGGTTTGATAATGCGCGGCTTCGCTGCTTCTGCATCGCGCCCGCGCGGTCCACGTCGCTCAACCTCGCGATTAAGTACGCTGACATCATCAACTCCGTCGTCTTGCAGGTGAGCTGACGTCTCCGGCGGTTCGTACACTCAGCGTGCTGCAGTTGTTCGTTTGGCCTCTCAACGTCATCCCCCCACCTCTCTCTTCGCCCCTCTCCCCTCGTCACTCCCCTCCACACCGGCTCCTCTTCTCTCGTCTGCCTTCTCTTCCCCTCCGCTTCCCCCCGCCTCCTTCCCCCCTCGCCCCGCGCACGTCGTTCCCCCTGCCCGCTCCCCCGCAGGACGACTTCCTTCCGCGCACGTCAGCACCCATCGATAACATCCTCGCGCTCTCCTTCTGGTACGCTCCTCCGCTCTCCTGGTATCCCCCACTCTTCTTCCCTCTATTCTTCTTTTACTCCCTTCCTCACTCTCCTTGCCTCACTCTCCTTGCTTCACTCTCCTTCCCCCACTCTCCTTCCCCAACTCTCCTTCCCCAACTCTCCTTCCCCAACTCTCCTTCCCCCACTCTCCTTCCCCCAACTCTCCTTCCCCCACTCTCCTTCCCCCCAACTCTCCTTCCCCCACTCTCCTTCCCCCCACTCTCCTTCCCCCACTCTCCTTCCCCCACTCTCCTTCCCCCAACTCTCCTTCCCCCAACTCTCCTTCCCCCAAGTTCCTCCCAAGCACTTTGTCCCTCTCTCTTGTTTCCCCAACCATGCCATGCGCCCCCCACCTTTTCTCCCTTTCCCCCCACCCTCCTCAGTCTGCCATGCATGCTGTGCGTCAAGTGCTGCTGGGACTCGTGCGGGCTGTACAAGCGTCGCCTCAAGGACCCTCGCCGCCTCTACGCGCCCGGTCGCCTCTTCCACATCCTCTACACCTCCGACTTCAGGTGGGGCACTGGGTAGGGCACAGGGTGGGGCACAGGGTGGGGCACAGGGTGGGGCACAGGGTGGGGCACTGGGTGGGGCACTGGGTGGGGCACTGGGCGAGGTGCTGGGAGAAGCACCGCTTCCTCTACCCTGCATTACACCGCCCACTTCAGGTGGGCCGCTCTGCACTTCACTGTTGCTGCCTTCAGGTGGTGCGTGGGGGCGGGGCAGGTGCAGTGGTGGTGTGCCGCTGCTCGTGTATCGCGTGGTCACTGTGGTGGTATATTCCTTCCGTCTGCACTGCATTCCGCTACTCCTGCTGTTACATGCGAGTGAACTGCCTGACAATTTCTCTCTCCCATACCCACTCTTGCCTTCCCCTCCCCGCTCAGTCTCCTTCGCCCCGCATGTGTCCCCCACCTTCTTCCCACCATGTCAATAGAGGAGCATTTGACAAGTAACTTGCCTGCCACTCCCTCGTCCTTCTTCCCCCCTCTCCGTTCCCCACCCTCTTCCCTTCAACCTGCGTGCGCCCTGGCCCCCCCAGCTGCCAGGAGGAGGAGCCGCAGGTGAAGACCGCCGTACCGGTCGAAGACCGCTTTGAAAAGGTGGTGCTGTCCCGCACGGCCATCGACGACCATTCGATCGTCATCATCGAGCGCCGATCAACGGTGGCGGTGGAGTCTCTAGAGCTGCGGGAACAGGCGGAGCAGGAGGAGGAGAAGAAGACACCCCCGGAGCAGCAGCGCATGAAGCGCTCTTCAACCATGAAGGAGCGCCAGCAGCAGTACGCCCAGGCGCTTGAGCGCGCCCTCACTCTCCACGTGCCCGATGCCGCCAGCGCTGAGGAGATTCGGCAGCTGGTGGCTGCTGCTGAGGCGCGGGAGGAGGGGGTGAGTGATAGGGCGGTGCAGGGGCACAGGGCAGATAAAACGGGCGAGAAGGGAGATAAGGGGGACAAGGGGGAGAAGGTACAGGTGAAGGAGAAATCAGAAACGATTGCACCTTCGCCAACAGCCGCAGCAGCAGCAGCAGCAGCAGCAGCAGGGGCAGTGGCAGTTGTTGCTGCTGTGGGGATGGAAGGCGGCAAGGAGGCAGTGGGAGGTGAGAAAGAGGCGGAGAGGAAGAAGGATGAGGACGAGACGAGCGAGAAGAGCGCCAAGAGCGAGACTCTGTCAGAGTTCTGGCAGAAGGAGCTGGAGGAGTTTCGTGAGAAGGAGAAACAAGCACTGCTGGAGGAAGAGCGGAAAGCCGAGGAGCGCGTGAGGCAGTTTGAGGAGCAGAGCCGTGCGGACAAGGCAGAGAAGGCGGAGAAGCGCCGAGCGGAGCAGACGGGAGGGGAGGAGGAGGAAGAAAAGGGCGAGGAGGCGGAGAGTCTATCGGACTACTGGAGCAAGGAGCTGGCAGCGCTGCGGCGGCGCGAGGAGGTGGCGATGGTGGAGAGGGAGGCGCAGGCGGCTGAGCGCATCCGCGCGTTTGAGGAGAGGCAGAGGGTGGAGCGGGCGAGACGCGTCGAGGAGGGGGAGGCGGCCGAGCGGCTTTCGGAGTTCTGGGGAAGGGAGATGGACGGGGAGAAGGGGGAGGGGGAGTGGGCGGAGAGGGAGGTGGAGGGCGATGGGGAAGGGGTTGTAGGTGTGGGTGGGAAAGAGGGTGGTGATGGTGCCGTCTCTGCTGCCACAGCGCCTGCCGCTGCCGCCGCCGCCGCTGCTGCTGCTTTTGCCGCTGCTGGTGCTGCTGCTCGTTCTCCTGCTGCTACGGCTGGTGCTCCCACAGCAGGGGGAGGAGGGGATGTGGTGGTGGAGGTGGGCGATGGGGCGGCGCGAGGCCCGGCAGATGTGGCCATCCAGGTGGATGAAGGTACGGCGATGCTACCCAAGACACCTCCACCTGCCACTGCCCCTGCCCCTGCCACTGCCAGTGCTGCACGTGCAGCTGGGGCTGGGGCCAAGGGCGAGAAGAGCGAGGCAGAGCGCGACGGGCAGCAGCACAGGCACGCACACTTGGGGCGGGCTTTAACCACCACACCGCAGCAGCAGCAGCAGCAGCAGCCGAGGGTGGAGGCTGCAGCAGCGCGGCAGCAGATGGGGCGAGCGATCACTGTAGGGTCAGGGCGAGAGAAGGAGGCAGCAGCAGCAGCGAGGCTGTCTGCAGGAGGGGCAGCGGCAAGGGGGGGGCTGTCTGCAGGGGAAGTGGGGGGGACGGGGGGGACCCTGTCAGTGAGGCAGAAGTGGGCGCGTATAGTGGATGAGTTGATAGATGCGGGGGAGGGGGAGGTGCACGGGGGCACACGCGACGCCGCCGAGGCTCAGCTTCGGGAGGCGCAGAGGATCGGCAAGGAGCAGTGGCACAAGGCTCGGGCGGCGTTCCTGTCTGGTGTGGGTGGCCTGTCGAAGAAGGCCGGGATGAACATTGAGATCTGACCGCAAGATGACGTGGCGCTTGGTGCTGATGTGGCACTCGGGGCTGATGTGGCACTTGGTGCTGACATGGCGCTTGGAGCTGCCCCGGTGGTGAATGTCCTGGAGGTAGCAGCAGCAGCATCTGAGGCTCACTCTGCTGGCCATGGCAGCATTACTAATAGCTCCCCCAACAGCTTGTCTCGGTGTACACACAGTAGGTGGCCCTTGGGAACTTAAAACCCCATCCGGTGCTTCACTGCTGCGAGTGCCTGTCATGGCATGCTTGCCTTACTTGTGCGTGCCGGTGGTGCTCCCAAGAGCAAGCCACTGGTGGTTGATGGGAGACCAGGTGGCGAAGGGAAGGGCTTCTAGGCTGGGTGGTTGTCCTCTAGGCTGTAGCGTGCTTTCAGGCCGGCCTTTCACACGCGAATAGGTGGGTGCTCTAACCAGACACCAGGCTCGTTGAAAAGTGCTGTGTTTTCTTCAGTGGCAGAGTATCGCATCACATGTGTTGTGTTGCGCTGTGTAGCAGTGCAGTGGAGCCGACCAGCATGGGTTGTGGATTGCATGGCATTTCACCTTTGCATTGCATTGTAGCAGTTTGCTGTGTCATGGTGCTGTACATGTCATACCTAATGTGTGTGTGTGGGCTGTATGGCAGCAACACAAATGCATAGACCAGTGCAAGCGCGCAGAAGACAGGAGAGGGATCTGGAGCAGGGCTCCAGATTGGTTTTGGGCCACCCTTAGTAATCAGGGTTCTAGGTATAGTCAACCCTGATGCGTAGGGTAACTTTTCTGTTTGCCTGACAAATGCAGGGTAAAAAAAATGCTAGTCTATTTGGCCAGGGTGTTTTCAGAAAAACGATATATGTAATGCCAAAATAGGGTTAGCAGTTAGTAGCTCAGTTGATTCGATTGCGATTTATATTCGAAGGTCCTAAGTTCGAGTCTCGCTATTGGGTGGAGTATTTTGCAGGGGCCCGAATGGTCGTTCGTCTCGCTACGGAGCTTTCGGTATCATTCTATCTGGGATTGTACAGTGTTACAGTCAGGGAAATATGTTCCTTACGCTGTATTTCAAAGGGTACAAAAAAACTTACACTTTCTGGCCTAGGGTAAAAAATCCAGTACCCTGCCTGTGAAAGGGTAACTGAAAAAAAGCGGCCGCCAGTCAGTGCAAAAAGGGTATTTTACCCTGATAACGAGAGGCCTGATCTGGAGGGGAGAGGAATGGAGAACCACAGGCAGAACATGGGTCCATGACACAATAACGCACAGCACCATCACAGCATGGCAAACCAAACAAAGGCTTTATGCTATATAAATGTGTGGTAGTAGGGTGCAGTGGTGTAGCCACACCCGTCAAAGTAGAATGCGGTAATGAAGAAAGGAGGAATTCTGTCTGTCATTGAGCAACAAGAGCAGCTGCAATGGTGATTGCATGCATCCAAATGTTGTAGGGCCGACCGAGATCTTGAAGATCGTGCTAACAGGGCGGCAGAGCTGCAAGCCGGACGGCAGATCTTGAAGCCGGGCGGCAGAGCAACACATCGGTGGTCAAACTTTGAATTGGGTGGTGGCAGAGGTTTGGTTCTGGCGGGGCGGCAGAGGTTCAAGCAGGGCGGTAGAGCTTGCGGTTGCGGAGGCCGTTCCAGAACTGCTTGGCTGTCATTGGTCGCTTGCTCTCTGGCTGCACCTCCAGCACCTGACTCATGCATGCACGCGCAGTGGGATGGGTGGGAGGCAGATGCAAGAGAAGGGGAGGGAGGGGGGGGGAGGGGAGGGCAGGGAAGATGTATGAGAGTGAGTGGACTGCCTGCCTGTGATTGGTCGCTTGCTGTCTGGCTGTACCTCCAGCACCTGACATGCACACGCGGGCGCAATGGGTTGGGTGGGAGGGAAATGTGGGAGGTAGATGTTGGGTGGGTAGTATAGTGAGGGAGATGTAAGGGGGAGATGTAAGGGGGAGATGGATCACAGGCTGTGAGGGAGATGTAAGGGGGAGATGGATCACAGGCTGTGAGGGAGATGTAAGGGGGAGATGGATCACAGGCTGAATGAAGTGCTGCAGTGAAACAGGCCTCTTTTCCTGTGCCTGCAGCAGGTGAGCATGGCGTGCAGGTGAGCATGGCGTGCAGGTGAGCATGGCGTGCAGGTGAGCATGGCGTGCAGGTGAGCATGGCGTGCAGGTGAGCATGCCACCACTCACCACCACCACTCACCACCACCACTGGCTGGTCACCTTGACTGCTCACCTTGACCACTCACCTCAAGCACAGATCCATCACTGCACGGAACAAGCATGGCCTGCCTCTCCAGCCGCACCTCCTCCACCTCCTCCGGTGCCACCACGGGGGATGGTGGGGAGGAGGCGGGGGCAGCGGGGCGGGGCCGCGTGCGGAGGAGCTTGAGAGAGACGTTGTCCACGTCGCCCGTCACTGGGTCCTTGGTTAGGAAGGAGGCTCGGGTGCCGGGCCAGGGGGCGAACGCCCGAACCTGGACGTGTGGTTTGGGTAAGAGGGAGGAGTGGAGGAGTGAGCACAGACGGAGCAATGGGGATGGGTGGGAAGGGAGGGAGTGGGTGAGAGGGCAATGGGCTAACCTGCAGGTGATGCAGGGAGGGTAACGGATTGGGAGAGATGGGAGAGAGGGACAATGGCATGTCATAAGGCAGGGAATGCAGAATGATGTGCCAAGTGGAGTGCTTGTGGTGCAATCAGCTCAACTGTGAAAAGTGGAAAGGCGTGCGAAATGAGTTCAACTGCACTGAACCAGCAAGGTGCTGTGCTGAGCTCTCTTAAGGTCGCTCCACGCTTGTGCCTGCGATACGTGAGGGGTAACACCACATAACCTGCAGAAGCTGCCATGCAAAGGAGTTCTAAACCTGTCATGGCATGTGGTGCTGTGATGGCATGTGGTGCTGTGATGGCATGTGGTGCTGTGATGGCATGTGGTGCTGTGAAGGCAGCACCTTGTTGTGCAGAGTGAGGGCTGGCAGAGAGAAGTCGAGAATGCCCTCCTCTGCTGCCACCTGCCATGAGAGGCAACCAGGCAGTCGTGGGAGGGCAGTCGTTGTTGTAATTGTATACTATATACAACATTCATAGGCTAGAATAGGTGTAGTCCTTGGGTGTACACTCCAACCACACTTTGTGGTTGGTCAAGATTGGATTTGGTCATGGCCCTTGGGTGGCACTTGCCAACTTTTGGTCTTTAGACCAACCAATCCCAACCTAGCTATTTTGTGAGGTTTCCTACTCCACAAGGCACCTCACTCATTGGCCAACTTAGTGGCCAATAGGGTTAGCTCCTCCTCCACCCTTCTCTTCCTTGCATGCTTGTATTATAGAGCCTTGTTGGCTCATTACTAAACACATTCTTGAATTCTATCATGGCATCCAGAGCCAAATGGCTCACGCCGTCCTCTCTCGATCCTTAGGCTGTTTTTTACACCCCGCTCCTCTACCCTAGCGGACTATGACCTACATCCGCCCTCCCGCACCTCAGATCTAGCCTTCCGCGGCTCAGATCTACTCCCCCGCGGCCTCAATCCTCCCTCCCGCGGCCCCAATCCTCCCTCCCGCCGTCACGCCTCGATCTGCCCGCCGACGCGGACGACCGGCGCGCCGACGCGGACGACCGGCGCGCCGACGCGGACGACCGGCGCGCCAACGCGGACGACCTGCGCGCCGACGCGGACGGGCAGCGTGCGGCCACGAGCGACCTGCGCGCCGACGCGGCCGGCCAGCGCGCGACCGCCGACGACCCGCGCGCTAACGCGGACGGCCAGCGTGCGGCCACGACCGAACCGAGCGCCGACGCGGACGGCCAGCGCGCGGCCGCCGCCGACCCCGCGCCGACGCGGACTGCCGGCGCGGATCCGCGGCTGACTTGCGCGCCGTCGCGTGCGGCTGCCCGCGATCGCCACGACCTCCTCCCCCCCTGCCCTGCCCCACACCCGCGCCCCTCCCCACACTTCCGCACCAGCCTCTCTCCCCCCCTACCTCCTCCTACTCACCCTTAACAGCACCAGCACTGGCACCAGCAGCGGCACCAACAGCGGCACGCGCAGCAGCAGCAGCGGCGGCACCAGCAGCGGCACCGGCAGCGGCAGCAGGGACGGCACCAGCAGCGGCACCCGCAGCGGCATCGGCAGCGGCAACAGCAGCAGCACCAGCAACGGCACTGGCTGCGGCAGCAGCAGCGGCAGCAGCAGCGGCACCAGCAGCGGCGCCGGCAACGGCACCAGCAGCGGCACCAGCAGCGGCACCAGCAGCGGCACCCGCAGCGGCATGTGCACCGGCAGCAGCGGTATCAGCAGCGGCGCCTTCATTACTTCGCCGTCATGACGTCGTCGGACTCATTGGTCGATCTAGGGACCGTTGACACTCTCGAGCTGCTGGGCGACAACTCGGCCGCCAACTGGCACTCTTATGCTCACTCCGTCGAGGTGTTGCTCTCCTCGGTCATCTTCAGCGGATATACCCTTCGCTCCATCGTGTTCCAGGAGGAGAGGGTGGACTCCAGCCCATCGCCCCTTCCATCCCCACTGGACCTGCTCCCGACGAGCCCGGACCCGAGCCCGAGCCTCCTGGTAATCCCCCCTCCTTCGCGCCGGATGTTAACAACCCACAAAGCGTGGATTCTGCCATCCGTTCCTATCGCACCTCACTCAACGACCACCTTCGCCGTCAATTGCGCTACGACAACGACAAGCGCACCTACGACAGTGCTGCTGCCCGCCACCGCGAATACCAAGCCCAGCTCGCCACTTACACTACACGCCTCGCCACCTACACCACTGATATCGCTGCGTGGCGCATCTCTAATCCTCGAGCCCTCGCCATCCTCCTCGCCACCATCCCCTCCTCCCTCAAACAAGATCTCTCCCCCACCTCCTCCTCCCACCTGTGGCAACTGTTAATCGACCTCTTTGACCGACAGGACATTGCCACTCTCTATGCACTCATTAAGGAATTCGGATCCATCACCATGGACTCCACCGCCGGCGCAGCCGC